TTTTCAAGGCCCTGGAATTACTGACTCCTCCTGTTCCTGACAATGCTAATGCTAGAGTGAAAGCTCATGTGAGGCGTGGGGCAGCATTCTGTGGACTGGAATTGTATGCTGAAGGTAAAGGAAAGATACATGCTGAAGATAACATTCCTGCATTTGTTGGGATTTATTGTATGATATGAACAAGACTTTGTTAATCTGTACTTTTTATTTTGCTTGTTCATCCAGAAAGTTAAATCTTTTAAAATTTTAGTTTTGTTTTATTTATGGAGATGGGATGATGCAATACAAGGCATTCGCCCGACTCAAAATAGACCTAATGACATCAACGGACTTAATGAACTTCTGCCCATTGATTATTTCAGTAGGTCCACTTTGAATTATTTGCATCACCCACAGTCTGTTAACACACTGTTACCCGCAACCAATAGAAACAAAACCACAAAAGTGGTTTTTTCTATAAGTACTATTCCTGTTAGATGAAATATTTAAGTATATTGGACAGTGTGTTGCATTGGAACACTTTATTTTCTAAACTAGCTTTCTTTGCCCAATGTAAAAGTGAACAGAAAAGTCTTCTGTATCTTTCTTTCCTTTTCCAAGTAGTTTCTCTCTTTGTAAATATATTTGTTTGCTACCTTGTTTCCTTTAGCTTTACTGTTCATCTAATTTGGAGCTTGACAAAATGCTTCCTTACTTCAATCTGCTTTCATCATTTCTAGCACCTCTAGATTTCTGTAGTAAAATAATTGGTATGTTTTGCCTTTAGCTGTATTTTCCTTGTCCAGTACATTTCCCCAAAGAAAATTATGTAATACTTCTCCCTAAATTTCTGGGAATTGGAAGGTGAGCAGCCATTATGTCCCTCTTCTCCCCTCCAATGTAGCACAAAGTAACTCAAAAGACAAGGCACCAAAACACCCATTTCCCTGCTTGTTCACTCCATGCAGGTGCTTTTGAGAAAAAAGAAATGCGCAGCTTCTCAGCCAACTACACATAACCATAGTTTTATCAGTGACTCAGCACAGTCGTGTTCCTGTTGTCAATATCTAGAAATCTAACTTGCAGTTCTGCAAAGTACTGGTTTTTTATGGGTGGCTGCAGGGAGCCTTTGGGTTCCGAGCCAAACCTGAAGAGCAGGCATTGCTTGTATTCTGCTTTAGAGTTTTCCTTGCCTGTAAATACCATTGTTTATTAAAGGAAAATCTGTCCGTCTGTTTCCCAGGTCTTGCTGGTATAAAGACTTTATGCTAAAGGAAGTTTAGAATAGCAACAATAAAGTAGGGTACTACCAATGGCCTCCAAAAATGTCCCGGCTAGGCCATGTTATAGGACTAAGAAGCACATTCTGTATTGGTCAGCAAGACAATCTAACTCCTGGCCAGGCAGCAGCAGGGTGTAATGAAGTGGTAGAGCCAGGGCTGCATCCCCATTGCTCAGGAAAGATGGTGGAGGGGGGTACAAATGGTAGAACCAGTGGATCTCAGGCCACCAACTTAGCCCTTTCCCATACCTCCATTTGGGGGCTTTGGGGATCCCACAGGCAGAAGAGGGGCTTTGGATTGCAGCCCAGGGCTATAATCCAGGGATGGGGAACTCCAGATGTTGTTGGATTCCCAATTCTTAGTAGTCCCACTAGCGTGGCCAGTTGTCAAGGATAGTAGGCTGTCCAGCAGCATCTGGAGGGCCATAAGTTCTTCACCCCCCAGTGCAATCCTTATACATACAGTACTTACCTGTGATTAAACCCCTTTGAACACAGGACTTACTTGTAAGTCAATATGCACAAAAGTAGATGTTTCTTCCAATTCTACTTTATAGTATGTTGCTGCCATTGTATGATTAAAATGCATGCTAAATTAACCCTAGGTCTCCAAGATTATATTGCTGCTCTCAGGATTGAGCCCACAAACAAAAATGTAGAAGATGATGCTGAGAAGATTCGACGCATAATTCAAGGAAATGAATGATTCATGGAGGTGGAGAATGCAAATTTGGTGATCAGCTATCATGTCCATGCTAGTAATGTTGATACTTATCCTTGGAAGATATTTTGTTGGTGTATTAAATAAGTAGTTGGATATTCCTCTTCTTTAGCTCAAGTATAGTAGTTAACAAATATGGCGACATTTGAGGGCCTTTATAAGAATAAAATATAAAAATGCTTTCTTAAACTTAGAACACATATTTTCTTATCTTGCACAATAAACAAATAGAAAAGCCTAACTTTGCTTAAGTTTGGATTTGTTTTAAAACTTGGGAAAAATAACTTGTAGTGTTAGATCATATTGCATAATTTATGAAATATGATGTCACAATTCATAAGGTGATAGAATTAATAGCAACTAGTCTACATAGCATTTCAATGATAAGAGGTACAGTCAAATACTCCCTTGAAGAAAACCTCACCAAAAATACACACCACTTCTATTTATTTCTAAAAATCAAATTATAATGTGCAATATGTAAGATATACTGTAATCAAAGCCTATTTGTTCCTCTGTAAAAATCCATAACCAAACATTATTGAAAGGTTTAATCAGAAAACTGTAGGCTTATAAGAATGTTTCTGTTGTGTCAGTTCTCCAGGGGACTCCATGACCCTCCTTTTCTTCTTTGGCTCTGTTTGTTGCCATGCAGAAGATGGCTTAACTGAAGGCTTAAGAACAAAATGTGCCCCCATGATCCCTCTCTTAACATGAGAAGTGGTACTCCTTGAGCTACAATGTCCTGAAGCTTGTTATTTCTTGGATCTGTAGGGCTTGGTCCTCTTACAAACTACTAAAGTACTCCCTTTCTGGTATATTTGTATAACCATTTGCATAGGTTATAGGGCTGGCAAAAAGGCGTACATGAAAAATGTTTCTGAATGTGGAAAAGTCCTCAATCCTACTGGAGAAACACCAAAAAGTTTTTTGTTTTGTTAATCCCATGCAACATTTTGTCTCTAGTTCTAATTCCTGATATGAGGAAGAAAACTCATGTTGGTGAGAGGAGCACTTCTTGATGCCAGCAACCCTCTAGGGAGCCAGCACAGAAGCCTATTTCTCACTAAGTTTAAAACAAAGTAGTGTCTGTACAGCATCACCACAGACTGCAGTTGGGTGCTCTGAAAACTGAATGCTTCTTCATACTAAAGCCAGCATGGCAGTGTCCTGCATATTTAAAAAACAATCAGTTACATCAAAGTCTAGGATTAAACTTTCTCCCCAACATACATAAGAGAGAGGAGCATTAAATCATGCAAGTTTTCACCTGCATTCAGATATTAGTCTCTTACCTCAGTAAAAACTAGATCTTAGAATTCCATTTGATGATCTTCTGACTTTATTTGCTAGCATACTTAATAGGATGTTGAACCACGTATTTTTACTGGTAAGGCCTTATTGAAATCAGACTTACTTTCAATAAAGATGTTTCAGTATTAGATTATTAAACAAAAAAACCAGACTCTCTTATTTGCTTTATTATTTTAACAGATAACAAAAACACACTACTAGATTTTATAAAGTGTGCATAAGATCTGAGTGATCACAAACTTTGTTTTTGTCAGTGCCAGTGTTAATACCATTAAATCGTGTCATCCCACAAGTAAACAAATGATTTGTGAAAGTATTGTCCTTTGGACAGAATTTACAAGGTACCATTTGTGTGGTAGGCGGTATAGCACCATATTCACCTGATGTTTTATAGAGCAAAAGCTGGGGCTTGGTTAAGAAATTGCTAGAGGTGAGAGTCTTTGCCTCCAACATACAGGAAAACACAGGATTGCCAGGGTTTGCACATGGACGCCACTGGACAGAGGATGTGTTCTTTGCACCACCCCTTGGTTTTGTTTCTGGCTCAGAAGTCATTTTCAGTTCCTGTGCAAAAGTAGAAAAATTAAGAGGTTCCATAAGAGCATAGGTAGTTAAATGACATATTTAAATCTAGCTTTATAGATGGTTCACTTTTAGAAACTGAGCTGGCACAGCGAGGTAAATCCTGTTGAGCTCAATGAAACAACTTCTTCTTCTTGAAATTTGTATACCACACTATATCTGTAGATTTCTGGCAGGTTCACAACATAAAATTACAATATAAAAAGCACACGATAAATAATAAAAACAAAGATAACTCAATAATCCCCCCTTCCACAACACATTTAAAAGAGCATTGGATGTCAATCAGCCATACTATTTTTTATTATGAGTCGAAGTATTTAGGACCAACAGAGGTGCTTGATGCTTGCATGGCTGTCTTCCTTAAATGCAAGTGACTTGGAAAAACCTTTACCCCTCATTGAAAGGAGCCCTGCTACAGATTTAAGGGGCCCAGTGTGACCTTTGTAGCCCCAGTGAAGTTCCTCTGAGCTATATGCTGTCACAAACTGATTGGATTGCCTCAGAACTACTCATACATAAAAGCTCAGTGTCCTGTATTTTTGTCTCATATCTCAGAAAGAAATGTACTCTTAAAAAAACCCAACAACTTCAATTTCTAAAAAATGATGCTCTGTTCTGCTTCTTAATATCGATTTACAAGATACTACTAAAAAGAGAAAAGCGGCAGGGAGCACCGCTCCTAAAAAGGCCGTTCTTCGCTGTGATGTAGGCAGCTAGCTAAGCCGGGCAAGAGAGTCGTCTGCCCCCCCATTCTCCCGCTACAGCCGCTGGGCTTTGAGGGCCAGGCTCCGCCGAGCGGCCCCAAGAGCGACAGCCTTGCCGGGGAAGCACCCCGCTCCTTACCGGCCGCCGGCGAGAGCTCGGGCCTCCCGACTGCAGAGGATGCTGATGCTGCGCCGGGCTGGCGGCGTCACCATGGCAACTGCCTCAGCATCTCCACACATCACGCGTCCCCCGCCGCGTCGGCGCACCCTTTGTTGACTCAGCGTCCGGGTCTCCGCCAGCGCTGGCCCCGCCCCGCAGCGCCCGCGGCTCCTTGGGGCCTGTAGTCCCCGCGCGCCTCCCTCTGCCGCCGCGCCTGGCAGAGGCGAACTACCGCTCCCAGGGTTCGTCCGGGCCCCGCGGGAATGCGCAGGCGCCAGTGCTCGCCTCCGCCTTTCCGGCTGCTTGTTTGTTGTTCTGGCGAAGGAAGGAGGCGGCGGCGACGGCGGCGGCGGCTGTGACAGCAGCAGCAGCAGCGGGAGCAGCCCGGCCCGAGCGCGCCTCACCTTCCCCGGCCTCTGCCTCCCCTGAGCTCCTCGCCCTCAGGGGTCCGGGCTCGCTCAGGTAGGCCTGGCCGGGAAGGTCTCCTCGCCATCGGGCACCTGCGCCCTTTGCCCAGCCAGGCCCCCGAGAGGCCTCGGGAGGGGGCGGGCAGGTCTACTCGGGAGGAAGCGGGCTTCGGAAGGCTGCCTCCCCGCGAGGCGCCGGGGAAACGCTTCCTGCTGCAGGCCTCGCCGCCTTCGGGACAAGCCGCACTTTGCAGTTCCAGGGGTTTCCAAACATAGCTGTCAACTTTCAGATTTGAAGATAAGGGATCAGCAGCCTCGAAAATAAGGGATCAGCAGCCTCACCTGTCCCGGGGACAGTCTACGGGATATCTAACAATCCGGGATAGCAGCGGGAAGCGGCGCTGGAATAACGGAATTTCCCGCAAAAAAAAGGGAAGGTTGACAGCTATGTTTCCAAAGCAGAGGCGCCTCTGGATTAGTGGCTGGTTGGCCCTTCGCTGAACTGGAACTTTTGAGAATAGCACAGAGTCGCGCAATTATTTCGCTCCCCGAGTGCAGCTACTCCGAAGCCTCCCCTTGGCGCAGGTGGAGGTGGGTGACCACTTGGCTCCTTCAGGGGAAGGCGAGGCTGCAGCAGCACCCCCTGCCTGTCCTTCTCTCATCTGCTTCAGGGGGCTCTTGGGATTTCCAGGCTGGCCCTGGAGAGTGTTTTGCTCTGTGACAGCTGACTCAGGAGAGGCGCTGCTGGTTCTTGACCAGTGCCGGGATGCAGTGGTGGGCTGGGTGAATCCTGACAAGGCAGTTGCTGTGGGAATTGGTTGCCTGCCCAATGGAATTGCCCCTTAAGGAGCACATGTGTCATCTAGGTAGACTCTTAGATGCAGCATTGGTGATTGAGGCTCATGTTGCTTCCATGGCTAGGAGTGCCTATTGGCCAGCCATTCCTGTGGTCCATGCATTGGTCTTATCAGATTAGTTTGTTTACGGCCATGTGCTTTATTTGGGGCTGTATTTGGGCTTTGTTTGGAAAGTGAAGCTGGTGCAGAATGCAGCAACAAAGTTGGTGAGTGGGGTAGCTAGCTGCAAATGTATAGCAGTTCTAAAGGAAGAGCATTGGAGGCCAGTTAACTACTGAGTCAGGTTCAAGACACATGTGTTGGCTTAGGACCTAGGTATTTTCTGAGCCCTTCCCTCACAGATTTAGCTGACACCAACCCTGATAAATTTCAGGCAATTTAGTAAAGACATTTTTATTTGCTTCGGCATTTGGTTAGTTGATTGAAGGAGATGTTGCAGTTCTGTGACATCATTTTGATTTATTGTTATGGTTTGGGTTGGGGTTTTTTTAGATTGTTGTATCATTTTATGTTGTATCTTGCTTTAGGATTGATTTTAATGTAGATCAAGCACCTAAATGAAATAAGTAGTACACTTGTAACTAGATGTACTTTGATGGGAAGCTAACATTCCTCATGACCTCTGGTCAGAGGGTGTGATGGACAACATGGAGAAATTAGTTTCTTTCTTCCTAGGAGAAAGCCCCAAAACAGAATCCTAATCAGTGAACAGCCCTGCCATATTTTAGACATTTCCCCATTAATTTAAAATATTTTTCAAAAAATTGCCAAAGGTGGCTGCCTGAATCACTATTAAAACAATGCAACAATTTAAAAGCTAAACCGTAAGGAGTATAAAACAGTAAGATACGTAAATCATTATCTGTACAAACTAGAGTGTTCCTTGGTGGGGTGTAATTATAGCATCCCTGCAAATCAGTTTCTGGAAGCTGCTAGCCCACCTACCCACAAATCCCTGTGTTAAGATATTTGTGTTTTAGAAGGGAACAACTTTCATGGCTGGTTACCTGGAATAACTTCTCCCTTGCTGCTAAGGCAGCTAGCTAATCAAGTGGCTTTAGAAGTACAAGTTGTACAAATAAAAAAAATACAGAGCAATCAATAGCAGCCATTGTATGCAAGATTGATAATCAGTTAACATCCTTTAATGTTAAAAAGACATAATGGCTCTGCTTGTTGACTTGCTGTCTGTTTTAATACTCTGCACAAGAATGACTATTCCACCTAACTTCATTGCCCTGGGACTACTTTGCATCTGTTTCCATAGGTATAAGACAAGCCCCTTAGAAGTGGAGGAAGGGGCAAGGCAATGTCTTCCTGCAGAGTGATGCCACTAGTGCTGAGCTCCCTGTTCTGCCTTCTAAGCAGGGAGGTGGACAGAAACCCGCCATAAGCCCTGAAACAGAGAGGGGCTGAGCTGACTTGGGATTTGTTGGTTCCCAAGTAGAACCTACTGATTTGCTTCTACTTTCTGCCCTAGGTGGCAAGAGTGGGCAGGCTGTGGGTGTGGTGGTGGCCCTGTCACTTTGGTTAAGCTCTGCTCCTACCCAGCTGAGGTTTGGTTTGCAGCTGTATCCGGGAGTAAGCAAACACAGTGGAGATCAGCATGCATAGGGTTGGGCTGCCCCCATTTTAAACTCCGGAGCTGAGGGATGACAGAAAAACCTGTTATGTGAAGTAAGGCTTTCAGCAGATTTCATTAGCACTGGGCTGTGGTTGGAGTTTGAAAGAGCTAATATTCTGCCTGTATCCAAGAAAGATCAAATTGCTGAAGGTAGTGGGGCTGTTAGGTTATTTTCAGTGGCAGATAAGGCTTAGAATAATAAATGTTAAAGTGGGTGTTCGGATAGGTTCACTGTGGGTGGAATAAAAGATCAGTGCGCTTCTGGAGAAAGGGAACGTACTACACTCAGTCCCATGGAATTTCAACTTCTACTCTTTGAAAACCCATTCCATATAGAGTTGTCTGCAACAAGCTCTCCTGTCAAGGATGAACTCTCCATCTGCACCAGGGGCTAGCAAGGAACTCTTTGGCCAAGTCCTTGCAAACTCCAAACTGGAGAGTCTCCACTGTGTAGGGCATAGACAGTTATGAGAAATGAGCTGCCCCTCAGGTAGCTGGCCCAGCATTGCTGACCTCCAGGTTCCTGGGAGCACAAGTTTAAAACCCCTGCTCTAGTCAGCTTAGATTTTAGCAAAGCGTTTGCTGATAACTATTATTTAAACAGGAAAAAGGATACTGGTGAAAAGACAGAAAAGCTGCAGAGTCTGTGGCTAGATGCTGTGAATACAGGAAAGCATGCCACTGGCTGAGAGCAGAATTGGGCACCCTGAGCACATCAGCTGCATTTGTCAAAAGAAAGGAGGTGCCTTCCAACCCGTCTGGCTAGTGTGTGGCCAAAGACCCAAGGAAGTGAATTGCTTGGCTGGATGGGAAAGAAGTAGCTAGCCAAGTTTTTCAGGGATCAGTCTAGGAGCCTGTTTTAGTCAGTATTTTTCCTTCGAAGAAAAGGGGGAGGAGTGTCCCTCTGATATTTGCATGTACCTAGCAAAGAAGTGTAGTTAATACAGACAAGGCATTGTTCCTTAGGGAATGTTACAGAGCAAACTGGGTGATCTTCTGAACTACCAAGTGACATTCAGCTGTGTCTAGCATCAGGTTATGTGTTTGTGGGCAAACAGTGACTGTTTTTACTACTGGTTGCAAAATAGCAAAGGAGGGAAGTGTGCTTGAGTACTAGTTCATCACAAAACATCTGGGAGCTGCTCAGACGTGACAAGGCAAAGTTTTGGATATATCAAGTGAGGCATTTCTAGTTAAGTTAATGAAATATTGGCTCCCTTCTACGAGCTATTGATGAAGCAGTAGTTCCCCACCCTACCCCTTTGAGAAAGGGTGAGTTGAAGCTGCAGCAAATGGAGAGAAGATCAGTTAATGATCAGAGGAATCGAGAATTTCTCTTCAGAGTCTAAGGAGGTGATACAGCAACATTCACATCTTTCTCTCAAGTAGGATAAGGCAATCAGTGGCTACCAGTCATGATGGTTGTGGACCACATTTTTGGAGACCGTTTCTGGATCATCACTGGGGAGACTGCCGTTGTGTTTATGTGGAATTCCCATAATGTACATCTGATTTGCCATTGTGAGAACAGGACGGGCCTTTGGCCCTTCTTACATACTTAGAAAGGCAAGCAGAGAGAGGCAGTATGTCTGTGTTTGGTACTGGAAAGGAAGAGGCAAGGTTCAGCTGGCCCTCTTGCAGTCTGCCCTTCTTCCCTAGTAAAATTTTGCCTCATGTTCAGCATATGGTAGGTGGCCATATTTAGAAAAAATTCTCTTTGAGTTAGATCAGAGATGGCCCTAGAGACTCTTAGGCTGCTTGCCTTCCTTCCAGCTATGGGGAGTGTCTTCAATGTGGGCATGTTTGTGCAGTGCCCCTGCATTGTCCACAGGGCTTGGATTGGGTCAGGTGAATATGGACAAGAAGTTAAGGTTGGATTAAATCACCTTTGCTCCCCACTCTGTGATCCCTCGAATGCCATGGACTGGCTCTTTCTAGATTCTGTTTGCAGTGGTGAAGTTTGAAATGTATTTGAACAGAGATCCCCATTTAGAGTCAAGTTGGCTAATCCTTTCAGGTGCCACATTTGTACTGTTCTCTGTTTTTGTTTTTTGCTTTCAGCATCTGTCAAAATGTCTGAAAACTCCAGTGACAGTGATTCATCTTGTGGCTGGACGGTCATCAATCATGAGGTACTCTATGGCGGTGTATTTTAAGTGGGGCTGGTGGTGATTTGCCCTTAGACATTTCAAGCTCATCCTACAAATTTCCTTCAATAGCTGTTACTTTGGACTCAATGAAGGACGAGTCCCCTATGCATTTTTCTGCAGTTTTCAGCTAAGACACCAAGAAATGAGTTGATTTCTATAGGACACTTAGTTGAATCAAGCAAACCTCACAACAGAGCCCAGTAGCAGGGAAGAGCACTGATGAAGTCAATCCCATTATCTTAGACAGGGCAAAGGAGAAGTCTAGATACTTCCATAACCTCAGGGCCACTGCAGCAAAATTAGATAAATGAGAGCAGTCAGGATTTGAGTTTGATCTAAACTTGAATGTGCTTCAGTAGATTATGCTCCACTGGCTTAAGGTTTCCTGATAACCTTGAAGTAATTTCTTGTATGACTTAAAGCCCCCTGAAGATAATCTGGGAGAGATGCATGTCTGAGACCCTGGAAAAGTGCTGCTATTCAGAGTAGCCAAGGCATTGAGCTGGATGGACTGAGAGATGCAGTGTGCAGCCCTTTGGGCTCTCAGGAGCCCTTAGCCATTTATTTTTTGTTATCACCAGGTGAGCACCTCTAGTTTCACTTGAGAGCTCCTCCTTTTCTTTTCCATTTAGGGCTCTGATGTTGAGGCTGTGGCATCTGAATATGAAGCTTTAAGTGGTCATGTGGAGCCGGCCTTGGATGAATCTCTATCTCTCGCACAAGGTGGTGATGGGCAAGAGCAGCCCATCGACATGCAAGGTAAGCCTTAGCCACAACTATGCCACCTGCAACCCCGTGTGCAGTGACGACTCGACTGCTTCGGTCGTGAGCTTGGGAACACTTGCGGAACTTGAAGATGAATCTAATAACCAGGACATGTCAGTAAGGGCAAGTGAGCATGGGGAGCTGCCTTATACAGAGACAGCAGGCCTTTGTACAGCTCAGTATAATGACTGGAAGGTTTCAAACAGGAGACTTTCCCCAGCCCTACTTGGAGGTGCTGCCTGGGATTAAATCTGTAACCTGTGTGCAAAGCAGGTGCTCATTCATTAACTAACAGCAAACATAGAAGCTGGGGCAAAATGACCTTGGATTGTGCCATTGTTAATACAGGTATATTCATGTCTTTCATCCAGGGAGCTCAAAGTGGCATACCTGGTTCTCCCTCTCTGCATTTTATCCTCACAACAACCCTGTGAGGCAGGTTATGCTGGGAGTCTGTGACTGGTACAAGGTCACCCAGTAAGCTTCGTGGCTGCATGGGGATTTGAACCCTGGTTTTCCAGAGCCTAGTTTGGCACACTGACCAGTACACCACACTGTATCTCTTAACAAAAAGCTAGTTAAGGCTGAGGAGGGCATGTAGAGATACACTGGAGGGACAAGCTGTTATAGAGAATGGAGATGCATTTGCCATAAGAAGGTGTGATGGCGCAGAGAGCCAGTGCTGTGAGGGAGCAAGCAGACCAAGCCACTTCAACGCTCTGATGGTCCTCTGCGCTGTCACCACGTGTGTTTTTTATTTCCTGCCTGCCTCCACTGATCAGCCCTTTCACCTCTGTAATGTCTTTGCTGTACCAGTGAACTCACTGTACAGTGGCACCTCGGGTTACAGACGCTTCAGGTTACAGGAAAGCCCCATTAGCTAAAGTGGTGCTTCAGGTTAAGAACAGACGAATTAAGTTCGTAACATGAGGTACCACTGTACTGGCTGGGGGGGAGTGGGGGAGGCATTTAGGCGTAAAGTGACAGCCAGGGCATCCGACTAAAGTTAAACCAAAACAAATTTACCGTATTTTTCGCTCGATAACACACACCTGACCGTAACACACACATAGTTTTTAGAGGAGGAAAACAAGAGAAAAAAAAATTCTGAATGAAACAGTGGATGTATCATTTTTGTGCTTCATGCTGTGGCCACAGACATGTGATTTGACGGTGAGTTTGGGGTAGCCCAATGCAAAATCCTGAGATCCATGTGGATCTGTGCTTTGTAACCACATTTTTGCACCATTGCAGCCCCAGGCAACAGTGGGTGCGTGATTTTTTTGGTGCAGGCTGCAGCCATGGACATGCTATGTGATCTGATGGTGAATTTGGGGTGACCCAATGCAAAGATCCTGAGGATCCATGTGGATCCATGCTTTGTAACCACGTTTTAAGTGGGGAGGGAAGGAAAAACATAGAAGGGACAAGGAGCACGAGAGGGGTGTGCGGAGAAGCAGCTGGCTAAGAATGCAGGAGAGGGGTTTAACGGGAGGGAGAAAAGGAAGGCAAAAGTCCCCCCACCCACCCACCCAAGCCAACCCTCTCTCTCTCTTCTCTCTCTCTCTCTCCCCCACCTGCATGTTTTCCGGTTGCCTGGAATGCTTCCCTGGACGCAGCAGCATCGGAGCACGGAGAGGAATTAGAAGGAAGGACGCAATCCTTTCCTTTCCCCTCTGCTTGCCCGGAGGGGAGGGGAGGGGCTTTCCCTGCTCTTTGTTCCGTTTGAGCAAACAGCAACCGAAACAGAAAAGGGTGGGCAGTAAGACCCTGAGGCAGAATGCAGGAAAGCAGCAGCTTCCTTTTTTCAGGCATCCCTCCTCCCGTGACAGGGCGATATGATTTTTGCCTGATTTTTGCCCCTGCACTCGGGACAGTCGGCTCCAGGGACCACACATTCGCTCAATAACACGCACAGACATTTCCCCTTAGTTTTTAGGAGAAAAAATCTGCGTGTTATAGAGGGAAAAATACGGTACTGTATTTTTCACTCTATTGGACGCACCAGACCATAGGAGGGGGAGAACAGGAAAAAAAGATTATTTTTTTCTTGTTCTCCCCCTCTAAAACAAGGTGCGTTCTGTGCATTCAAGGTGCGTTCACCCGAATCCTCTGGAGCCCTACGGGAGTTCCCACTAGGCTCTGGAGGCTTTGGGTTTCTTTCGACCTGCTCTTTGGGGCTGGCGGGGGGGGGAGCGCTGCTTTTCCCCACCGCTAGCCCCAAAGACCAGGTCGGGGAACAGCGGGAAGGCAGCGCTCCGCCTCCCCGCTGTCCCTCGAACTTGTGGGGCTGGCGGTGGGGAGAAGCGCTGCTTCCCCCCCCCGCCAGCCCCAAAGAGTAGGTCGGGTGTGGAGGCTGCTATCTGCAAGCCTTGGGAGCCCGGCAGGAACTCCTGCCGAGCTCCCAAGGCTTGCGGATATCTGCCTGAAGCTGGGGGCGCGCTGCACAGCGCTCCCCGGGCTTCGGGCTGCAGGCTGCTATCCGCAAGCCTTCGGAGCGCGGCGGGCACTCCCGCCGAACTCGGAAGGCTTGCGGATAGCTTACTGAAGCCTGGAGAGCAAGAGGGGTCGGTGCGCACCGACCCCTCTCGCTCTCCAGGCTTCAGCGAAAGCCTGCATTCGCTCCATAGGATGCACACACATTTCCCCTTCATTTTTGGAGGGGGAAAAGTGCGTCCTATAGAGCGAAAAATATGGTACATTTTACTAAATGCTATTTCTAGGAGGAACTCTCCAGATTTTAAATCAGTTCAGTAGTTAACTCCAAAAGCATTTGGGATGTAAAAAGGACATGGAAAATGCATCCATCTCAATCTCGCCTAGGTTGCTTTTCTACTAAAGCAAAAGCCTTGCACTTGCAGGAGCAGTAGACTCACATGGACTCACTCTGAACTGAGTAATGCTACACTTTTCAAATTGGACGGAAGCTTGCTTGTGGGGTGTGTCCAAATAATGCGTGATTGTCAACGTTGTGGGTCCTTTTGGACCTAGAGGATTGTCGGGCAGGACCGCCTGTACATTAAACTGCAGTATTTCACATAAAACAGCAGTATATCTCTGGATCCCAGACAATATAGGTACATGGATTTGAAACCAGCTGTGGGAGCACACTTTGTACTGTGGACACAGCTTACTTCTAGTTTAGTCCCCTTCCTTCTTCCTTCTGAGTACAGTGGTACCTCAGGTTACAGACGCTTCAGGTTACAGACTCTGCTAACCCAGAAATAGTACCTCGGGTTAAGAACTTTGCTTCAGGATGAGAACAGAAATTGTGCTCTGGTGGCACGGTGGCAGCGGGAGGCCCCATTAGCTAAAGTGGTACCTCAGGTTAAGAACAGTTTCAAATTAAGAACGGACCTCCTGAGGTACCACTGTATTACTAGGGGAACATGGAGGAGGGAGGAGGAGGAGGAGGAAGAAGCTGACTGCCAGGGCTGTCATTGGACTAGCTATTAGTAAAGTGGTGGGCAGGAGGGGGCTGGCTTATGGCAATCTGAGGTTGGTAGGGCATTGCCCCATTTGTTCTTGTGAACTCGCATCCATGGGCTCTCAGACAAGCCTCTTCTGATTTATAGCTCTCTTTATCTTCAAAACTCCTCCGCCATCCTCCTCTCCTCCGCTTGCCAGCTTCACTTGCATACCATGTTCTCATTCTCCACTCCCATCACTGCTATCTACATATTAGTGTATTTTTGGTATTTGTGGAAGCCGCCCAGAGTGGCTGGGGAACAAATAATATATTATTATTATTATTATTATTATTATTATTATTATTATTATTATCCTCATCCTCATCCTCATCCTCATCATCTGGATAACTTAAAGGTTTGATGGGGGGAGTGGAGTTCTGCAGAGTTTCTTTTTCGCCCAATGTTCTCCACCCCATTTCAGTTTCCTGGCCTGACCTTTTCTACCTTCTGGCAAGAATTGCCTCTAAGCATAAAGGAGCAGTTTTGCAACCAAGACAAACACAAGGCAGCCAAGAGTCTCCTTGTAACTGTTCGCAGCATAGGAGTGTGGAATAAACTCCCTGCCATTGTTCTGCAAGCAAACCCAGGGAAGGTTTGTTTCTTTGTTTAAGGAAGAATTTGCAATGCTTACAGAATGGATACCTAATTTGTCTACAGGGTGTTGTCTTTCTTTTCTTTTTTCTCCTGTTTCTTTCTTTCCTTCTCTTTCTCTCTCTCTCTCTCCCTCCCTCTCTCTGAGATAAGTGTAGTACTTGCCTGTTTATCTTATATGTGCTCACCTTCTATTTTTGTAGCTGAATTTGGCCAAGGTGATGTGTCATCCATGATAGTTCAAAGTCATTCTACCTCAGAGGCCACCAAGCCAGTTCCGGAGGTAAGTTATAGTTCTTTGAAGCACACAAGCATAAGAAAGAATGGAGCCCCACCAACCCCCGCTGGCCGAACATGATAGAGGGAAATATCCACCTTAGGGTTTGCTGCTAACTTGCAAGCCCAGCACCTGACTCTTTTGGGCTAGTTTGATGGGAACTTGAGTCCCAAGCAAGGGCATGTAACCCTCAGGTAGCTTTTTAGAAAAATAGCTTCCTTATATAACATCATAATGATTTAGTAAAAGTTTGTTGCATTAGAGTTATTTATTTATTGAACCCATATGCTGCTTTTCTAGAATAGTTTTTCTCAAAAGAAGTTTACAAAAAATATTTTTTCATATTAAAGGAGGGATGCAGAAGGGAAAACAACAACTAAACAGCTAGCTCTCCATATGTAATCTTTGCTGATCCTTTTCTGAGATATACCTTGAAATGTACAAGCAAACATGAGTTATTGTGTTTTTTGATGTGAAGAATTCCCCCGCACCACAAAAAAGCTGCAATGCAGATGTTCCAAAACACTTGGAAGACAATATAGATTCCACAGGTGAGAAAAATGCTTTATCCTGTGTGACACCTGTCATTTTACATTACATCTAAGGATGAAAAAGAGAAAGTGACAGATGAAAGCTCCTTGCGTGGGGGCAATTAGCGATGACTCTGACATTGTGACACTCGAGACGCCGAAAGTAGAAGAAATTGGAAGCCCAGAAGAAGCTGAATCTGTGCCTGTTGATGAGGCCGTTCCTGCCCCTGAAGATTTTAACATGGGCTCCTCTTCAAGCAGCCAGTACACCTTCTGCCAGCCAGAAACAGGTAGGCGACGTCTCTTGCACCTTGTAGGCCAGACTTGGCCAGAAAAAGAGGCAGCAGGTAGTGCCAGGCTCTGCAGGCTTCACGAATCAACTGACCACCTTTCCTGCTGCCAGTCAGGTTAAGGAAATAAGTTTCAGGAGCAGCCCATGAATGAGTCAGCAGTGACTTGAGCAGCCTTACTTTCATTCCCCAAACTGTGGTATCGTATATGGCCTTTCTCTTCAAAGAAACTGATTTTGCACCATACTGATGGATCAAGTGATTAATTCTTGGCACAGTCCATTTAATTCAGTTAACAGTATGGGAGATCATGATACCAATTGCAAGAGACAGATAACATGGGAGCCAGTCAAAGAAAGCTCATTCCTAGCTAAGCTTTCCCTCCAGCTTCCATTCATATGTGCTGGTGTTGTTTGTTCTTGTAGTTTTTTTTATATAACCGCCCCCCCCTGCTGGTTTGGTACCAGGAGTGTCTGCTGAAGTGGTTGGTGGCCTTTGAAGCTGCAGCCCCATCTTTAAATACAACAACATGAATTGGGAAGAAAATCTCCTCTTTCCAAACCACACCTAAGCTACACAGGGGAAAAACGAAGCAGGAAAAAGTGCCCCGGCAGAGCCCTGCATGATTTCTGTTAGGGGGAAAAGATCTTTAAATAATGGAGGCTGTCTAGTTTTACCTTGGCCTGGGTGTGAGGTTAGGCTCTTTTCAAGTGTTAATACTTTGCCTGTTCAGCCTTTTCTAAGCAAATTTGCTATCTGGCCTCTATCACCTCTTCAAGTCCCGTGCCTTTTCTAATCACTGCAAATTTAGAAATGAAATGCTAGAATTGCCTGCCTGTTCATCAGATGCAGTTGGCTGATCTTATTCCCAAGGGATGTTGGGATTCCCAGGACTGAAGTCTAGTTAGGTAAGCCACCCTCTCCTCCACATGGTGCCCTTCAGATGTTTGGGATGCTGCTACCGTCAGCCCCAGCACCACATGGGGCTGTTGGAATGTTAGGAGATGTACTTCAAACATCTGTAGGGCACCAAGTTGGGGATGCTGCTGCAAGGGAAAATGCTTTCACCCAGCAAGTGCGTTTTGCCTGTGTGACTGTCTCTTCTGAGACTTCCCCAGCAGCCATCTAAACATTAACAGAATGTGCTTGACAATCTTAAAGTGTTCATAATTCTGTTTCCCAGGCTCCTGCCATGTGCCTCTATTTAAAATCTACCCAGAAGCAGTTTGTACAGGGGCATGTCAGAGACTGGACTGTGTGCACATTGCAGGGCCTTCAGAGTCAGGGTCTCAAAATCTTGAGTCTGGGAGAGTCTGGGCCTAGGGACCACCCCCAGCTGCTGACAGGACAGCTGCTCTTGGGGCCAGGGGTTTCACATGTACCAGAAAAGAAGACTTGGAAACCCTAATGTCTAATTTGCTTTTGGTGATCAAAGTGTCATGTACCTATGCTTTCCATCTGCTCCCACCCCAGGCAAATTGCTTTGTGGTCCTGTGTTGCATTTTCCTTTTAGTCAGCGGTTAAAATCTCTTCTTTCTGTTATATATATATATACATACAAAAGCCAGTTGGCTGGAGAAGCTCCGGAAGATCCCCGAGTGTATCAGTGGATGGGGTGAGCAGCTAAAGCAGCAAATGGCTGGCAAGGTCCCTTTCCAAGGTGGCCCAGCTGCTTGTGCCTGGTGTGAGCTGTGGCTTGTGGTGTGGCATCTTGTCTGCTTGTGTGGTGGGGACAGCAGTTTCAGGAGCTAGCTCAAGTTGTTGCTTGCTGATGGCAGGGTCAGGAAAAGCAAAGACAAACGTGGAGGGGGCAGGGAAAGGGAGGAAACAGTAGAGGGGGGATCCATTTGGCTTATTTTGGGAAGCCCCCTGCATTTTGAATCTGGAAATCTCTTCTCCAGGGACAGCTGTAAGAACAAGCCTATACCCCCTAACTCAACTAAAATGTGTGCCATTAAATGCAATAATCTATTACAATATTTATAGATTAATCTAATGCGTCAGGTTGTTCCTCTTCTTTCTGGCTTGCTCTTGACATGCTGCTTTGCATCACTGGCCTATTGGTGATGTGCTTGAATGTTGAGTGAACTGTATGCCTTAGAACTGGCAGGAATCTTAAACTTGTAAGTTACTAGGGGGAAAGCCCTTTGGGTTGTCAGCAGGGAGGAGGGCTATTTCTGGTCCTTCAGCCACAGTAACCCCCTTCCATTTGCTCCATGGCCACCTGAATGACCATCCTGTCACTGGTTTCTCATAGTGGGTGCCCCCCCCATGATCTGAGGCCATGTGGCCTTGGCATGAGCCAATCTTTACCTTACAATCCTGTTTGGACAGATGTGTGCATTTGCGTTGGGGCGTATATGATGTTTTCAGTTGCAATGTAGATGGAATGGATAAAAAGGCCATTTAGCCAGGCCCCCTACTCCTAAAAATGCACTCACACCCTTCCTCCCAGGACCAACCCACATGATCCAGCTGTTAATCTACTGATCACTGCAGCAAGGAACCTACAGTGCAGCCAAGTTCTTGGTCACTTGAGCACAACAACTGAGCCCCACTGCTGGCCAAGCAGTCCCAGGGGTGGATGGGGGCAAGAAGATTCCTCCTGGTGGTTTCTGCTTTTTCAGAAACCCCAAAGCCAGGTTTTGTCAGAATTTTAAAGACCCCAACACTTTTAAGAAATATAATGCTATTTATGTAAATATTTTCTTGCCCCTCTGAGAGGGAACAAGGATGTTATTCTCTGTACACAACTGAGGGAAGGAAGAGGGTTTGCTCAGAACTAGCGGTCTGTGAGTGAGGACATGGCTGAAGGGGAAGCTCCCATCCTGCCACAAGGGACACACCTTAGCAGGCTCTAATCTTCTCCTAGGATGGAGAGAACAATACTCCATGTGTCAGGATAGGAGGCTGCACATTCCTTGCTGACAGCATAAAGGATTGTGGGTTTGCTTTTCAGTCTTTCTGCCTCGTCCCAGTGGCGAAGAATCAAGCAGCGACGAAACCAGCAATCGTTCCAGCCCCACCCTGAGGCGACGACGGGCGAAGAAGAAGTTGGTCTCAAGTTCTGAATCAGAGGATGTGCCACCTCTCGAACAGGAGACTGAACAGGCCAAAGAGCATTCGCACGAACGTCAGTTCAGTAGTGGCCTTAATAGGTGCATTATCCTGGCATTGGTGATTGCAGTCAGCATGGGCTTCGGGCATTTTTATGGTGAGTACATGAATCCTCTTCATTGAACTAATAAGAAATACGTTTTTAAACCAGTGGCATTTCCTCACAGGGTGCCGTAAAGACCAGATCCTTACTTGCCCTATCCCCTGCAGGCCAAATTTGAGAAGTGGGCAGCCCCACACACCTGACATCGCAATGATTGTCAGGACTTCAAAGCAGTTAAGAGAGTTGTCGGCATATGGAACTTAGTTTGAGGACATTTACCATATTTTTCGCCCTATAGGATGCACTTTTCCCCCTCCAAAAATGAAGGGGAAATGTGTGTGCATCCTATGGGGCGAATGCAGGCTTTCGCTGAAGCCTGGAGAGCGAGAGGGGTCGGTGCGCACCGACCCCTCTCGCTCTCCAGGCTTCAGGAAGCTATCCGCTAGCCGTGGGAGCCTGCGGGAGTTCCCGCCGGGCTCCCAAGGCTTGCGGATAGCAGCCTGTTCTGGGGGCTGGGGTCGGGGGAAGCTCGGGCTTCCCCACCCCAGCCCCGCGCCTGGGGGGGAAATAATTTTTTTCCCTTTATTCCCCCCCCCTAAACTAGGTGCGCCCTATGGGCTAGTGCGCCCTATAGGGCGAAAAATATGGTACATTCACATCTTAACAAGCAAAAATCCCTACTTGGACTTGCAAGTGCCCAGGTTGTGCCTTCGGACCAGTCGCCTAACTTGCAGGGTCCTTGTGGGGAAATTCTCTTGCACATTGTCCTCAGCTCCTGGGTGGGAAAGTGGGATATAACAGAGACTGACAATATAGATGAAAAGAGATGTCATTCTTACAGCTGGAGTGTGTGTGTGCATGTTCTCCCTGCCTCCCTGTCTGCAAGCTGAGGGAGACGTCTCAGTTAACTGAGGCTCCTAGGCAGGATGGGTGACTTGTGATTTGGCCCATTCCACTGACACACTCTTGCTTTGTGTGTGTGTGAGTTTGAAATTTAGTTATAAAATCCAGTCACTGATCCCCTGCCTGTGTTTTGTGGCTTCTGCTGTTTATCCCAAACATAGTAACCAGTCATCTAAAATAGAAAAAGTCCTGTCTGGAAAACTCCTTTAGTTGATGACCCAGATTCCTGATGTTCTGTTCTAGTAATACCATTTTTAATGGTGTGTAAAAAGAGACTAAAGATTATTGACTGAGTTATAAAGCATTTAGTAGAACAACCTTGGAGCAAAACTTAACACCTATCCATTATTTTGTCCTCAGGGAAATATGAAGGTAAGAGGCTTGGTTGGAATGTGTTGCTGTGAAACGGAGGCCAACGGCCTTTTCTCTCACCTTCTCACTCTGACATGCTTTTTGACTGTGGATGCTCTAGCACAGGGGTAGGCAACCTAAGGCCCGTGGGCCGGATGCGGCCCAATCACCCTCTCTGGGTTATTTCTGTTGCACAGAAATTTGTTCATTTCCCCCCCAAAATATAGTCCAGCCCACCACATGGTGGTGGACTGGCCCACGGCTGAAAAAGGTTGCTGACCCCTGCTCTAGCAGATTAACCTTATTTTCCACTGGGGGGCATCATTGCAGGCTCTTGGACTTGGGCTATTCAGTCCAGCTCCTACATTGGGAAACATTTTTTCATGACTTTCTGGTTCTTTGGCGGTAGCATGCACATTTTGATGTCAACACTGGAATTCCTGGATGGGAAGTGTTTGTGTGCTGCTTGTATAGGGGAATCAGATTAGCCTTTTGCTTCTTGAGAAGCTAAATGTGTCCGCTGGGCCAGTAGTTTGTGCTCAGGCACTTAACAAAAAATTTCTACGGGCTTGTGGATTCCAAGCATCCTTTGCTGCCACCCCTTGTACCTCTTCCATGATTCTTGAGGCCAGGGTCCTTCCCCCTCCTGGGTGGACCTGCCCTTTATTGTTTGCAGTTGGTTTGTGCTCAGAAGGCAGGACTTTCGAAGCAGCCTCCACTGCTCTCCTCCTTAGTCACTAACACAGGCCCAGGGAGGATTTGTGGTCCTCTGGCTGATTCCAACCACTGGCATGCTGGCTCTTGGTGTTCAGCAACATCTAGAGGGCACCAGCTTCCCTTGCCCTGCTCTCATGTCACTGAGTGAGCATTTGTGACATGATATTGCATGATATAGATTTGCATGTAGTTGTTTTCATGTTATTTGTACTGATCGTAGTACTTCATACGTTTCACCTTTTCAGAGAGGAACGTATGTTACAGGCCTTCTTTGTCCAAATTGATGCTGCTATTGTAATAGATGTTCTAAGGAGGCCTGACCTGGATTTGCCCCTCTGATTTTGCTGTTTTGCTAATACAGGTTAATGTGCAGCTGCGCACAGGTATACACTGGGGCTTTGTGAGTGTTCTGAGCCCCATCAGTCTGTTCATTTAATGATGGATCAGTGTCTTTGCCACTGAGCTTGGCTTGCTTTCATCAGCATAGCGTTCATGCCTTATTTTTTTAATGCAAAAGTCTAGCATAGCTGTTGCAAACAATTAAAAAGGTGATCGTTTTAAACTACACTGTTCACTGATTAATGTACTATGCAGGACTGAAGAGAGAAAAGCCATCATCACTGATAAGCTGCCTAATTTCCAATTTTTCTTGTCAGATAAAAGAGAAAATTTTCTGTTTCAAGGTACTGTTCAGATCCAAAAACGCCAGCAATTGGTTGAGAAAACTCATGAAGACGAACTGAATGGTATAAAGGATAATCTTATTCAGTGCCAACAAGAACAAGGCATGAAAGCAGAATGTAAGGTAAAGGTGGCTTTCCCATCATACTTGAAAGCGAGGGTGATATTTTGCCTTTGGCTTGTAAACTCCACCTCCATTGGGAAACTGCTGTCATTACTACCGCAAGTGTTGGAAGCTGTCTTCTAGATGAAGGCATGGGAAAATCCAGTCTTGGCATAGCAGGCAATTTTGAACTGGTTCAATGTCAACCACAGAGGGTAGGAGAAGATGCCATTGTATCTGCATCTTGAAGCTTTTAGAGTGGGTCAGCAGATTATTCTGTAGCGAGGGCTGGGTAGACCCAATTGCCACTGTCCTTGCCTTGAGCGCTTTCTCCCCGGAAGCATATTAAGCCTCAGCTTCCTCTGTGCTTGGCCCATGCAGGCTCCATGGCTCCCCTCCTCCTTCTGGGGTTGCAGCCACGCACCTTGCTGTGGACAGCTGGCCCCTAAACACACCACTCCCAGGCAGCGTTTGCGAGGTTTTTTATCAAAAGTGGAGGAGACTCTGCAGGCATTGTGGGGGAACGTACAACTCTGCACGGCCTGTTCCGCTTGCCCCTAGAGCAAGTGCCACAGAAGCTCCTTACTAGCCCTCCTTATCCATCGGTAGGTGGGCTCCTGCTTAGCTGTCCTCCTCCACCCTCCCAATGTTCTTGCAGCATTTGGACACTGGCACACAGCAGCTGATGTGTTTGCTTTCATTTTGTCTCTGATCAGTCTCTAAAGGAAGGCCTTGAAACATGCTTGCATACAACAGAAGTGGAAAAGAAATCCTTTGAATCTCAGAAGCATCACCTTGCTTCAGAAAACCAGCACCTGAGAGAATCTCTAGAGAGGGAGGAAAAAGCTTTGGCATTGCTGCAAGAAGAACTGAGGAAGCTGAGAGAGCAGATTCGGCACCTGGAGAACAAAGGTTCTGGCCCAGAGTTGGTTGCCACCGAGAATCAGAAGCTGAAAGCCCACCTGGAAGAGGAAAGGCACCGCATGCAGAGTTTTGTGAAGCAAAAGGAGACTCTGTTGGCAGAGGCCCAGATGCTGCGAAGGGAACTGGACAAAGAGCGGCAGCTGACGGTGGCTCTCAGGGAAGAACTGGACAAGTTAAGTTCTCAGCAGGCGCCTCCTGAGGGGGCGGGTGCTGGCGAAGAGAGCCAAGAAATAGAAGCTTTGCGGGGAAGGCTGACTGAGCTGGAGCAGAAGCTCAGCTTTGAGCAGCAGCGTTCTGACTTGTGGGAAAAGCTGTATGTTGAAGTCAAGGACCACGCTGAGAAGAAAGAGCAGACCGAGAGGCCACAGAAGCCAGATGGGAAAGGAACCAACAAAGCCAAAAAGAAGCCAAAAGGAACATTTTTTGGTTCTGTGAAAGACACCTTTGACGCCATGAAAAATTCAACCAAGGAATTTGTAAGGCATCACAAAGAAAAAATTAAACAGGCCAAAGAAGCCGTGAAAGAGAACTTGAGGAAATTCTCCGATTCTGTGAAGTCCACCTTCAGGCACTTTAAGGACACAACAAAGAATATATTTGATGAGAAGGAGAAGAAAAAGTACAGTGACAGCAGGCATGAGGCGAACAGAAAAGGGAAAACAGGCAGCTCCCAGGAAGGGTTACACAAGCAGGCGGCCCACCGCTCACCTGGCAGCCAGAGAGAGTTTAGAGATGGAAAGCGATCCAAAGAGAGCCGCTCCCCTCCGCACTTCTCCAAGGACCCTCCCTTCCAGGAATGCCCCAAAGGTAACAGAAAGCACCGCCCTCTTGTTCTCAAGGGATGTTCAGGCATCTTTGACTGTGCCCACCAGGAGTTTTTAAACCTCTTCGACAAAGACTTGGACCCGATTCGGGCAGATGAATTTAATCAATTAATGCACAAATATTTGCAGCAAGAAGTAAAGAACTTCCACCACTGGCGAGAACTGGAGATCTTTGTGAATAGGTTTTTCCGTAATGGCGTCTTTATACATGATCAGATGCTGTTCACGGACTTTGTTAATGACGTTAAGGATTACCTTGAAGACATAAAAGAATACCAGAGGAACAGGGATGGTGTATTTGAAGACCTGGATAAATATATCTACCGATACTACTTTCATTATGATCACTTGCCTCAGCACGGACCAAGGTTAGTACTAAAATTCTGCTAATAATTTAAACTGGGCATGTTTGAGTTGTGAAAGAAGGAACGCTTCAGCTGGCTGGCCCAGCAGGTTATTTCCCTGTTTGTTTGAGCTTTGCAGTTGCTGCTGGGCAGACAAGGAAAGCCTCCATAAAGAGGGGTGATTATGCCATCCTCAGATAAAGGGAACCAGTTCCATTGTACATTAAGCACCACAGTACAGAATTTCTACTGTAGCAAAGTGGCAGCGTATGTCAAAAGGAACGGAAGGAATTCCATTCCACCCACTTGCCGTATCCACTTTGCTTATTTTAAATAACAAAGTTGGTTGTAGCCTTTTGGAGGAGTTAAAACGTTTGGGGCATTGGGCTTAAGGCCTAATACTGAGGTGCTCATGCAGCCCTAACTTCCCTTCTGTACTTTCTTTCAGCCACCCTGCTAGGCGGGCTCCTTTCACGCACCCTCATAGTCCACAGCAGGACAGACATGCTGCAAAGCACCAGCATCGCTACAAAAGAGAAGGCCGGTGGCACAAGCAAGGGCGCAGCAACGGAAGACACATGGCAAATTTGGAGATCGAATTGGGCCAGATGCCCTTTGATCCAAAGTATTAAACAGCTGTTGTCCGATGGAACCCAGCGGGATGGTAAAAATAGTGGACGAGTGGCTATTTCTGCAGCTGGCTGAATCAGCAGAGCAATCGAGGGCACGTTTCCCCTTTCCTAATGACACTCCCTCTCCCCTGCAAAGATCAGCCCAGATTCTCCATCTTTCTCCTTTCCTTTCAGCCTTCTTGGGAAACATTAATTTGGGTGCAGTCCTAATATTGCAATAAATTAAGCAGGGTAAGCAGTAGCTTGTGTGTGTTTGCAAAATAAGCTTCTTTGCACTGGTTGGTACTAGAATTCATACTGGTTGGTACTAGAATTCATACTTGATTCAGACTTAATGTTAGAGTAATATTATGATGTACTAATTTCATCTCATACTGTTCAGAAGCATGTCTGTTTTACAACTGTCTATTTGTTCTTGTGATGGGGTTGGAACCTGTCGACTTCATGTGTGTGCTATTTTCCGATCAGCTTGCTGACTTGCATTTGAAATTTCTTGTGCATCTGCAGATTGTAGAAGAAAAATAAAGATGTGGTTGGAAAAAGTTACTTTTATTTTTATAAGTTTGCATAGCTAAACATCCTCAGAGAAGGACTCAAAGCATTTGTTAAGGCCACTCTTCTGTTATCTTGCGCATGCTGTCCATGCTGAAGTGTGTCTTCTCTACACCCGCAATGAAAAATGGTCCAGGCTGCAATCAGAGTTCCATTAACTCAGCAAGATTTACTGCTAAGCGAAGAGGACTGTCCTATTAACTATATCTCATGTGAAACACAGACCCATGCGGTGATCTTTGAACAAGATATAGTTACATTCCTGTATTTGTTGTTTGGGCTGAGACCATCTTCAAAGACGCTTTTGATTTGTTTTGTAGACATGAATGGAGCTCCCGATCCGTCCTTGAGGCAGATGAGTGTGAAAAAACGTGGCAACTTTTTCATACCTATTTGTAACTAGAAATGATGATATATCCTAGAAGTAAAAAATTCAATATTCAGGTTCTGGACCAAACATCAGGGTCCAGCAAACAAGAATTGAGGAAGAACCATCGTTATGCTGGCCACATTCATTTTTCCACCATTTATTTTGAAGATCGGGGGAGGGGAGGGGAAGGAGCACTGTAGAATTGTATATTGCTAGGAAGTTAAATTTTCAACCTAATTTTGTTGAGTAACTCATCAGCCACTAACAACTTGTATTTTCATAAAAGTGGAAAGAGCACAAATCCATCATCTGTATTCATTGCCGTAAAGGCCAGGAGTTGCCAACCTTTTTGGACCAGTACACATTTGTTTTTTTATTTTGAGACAGTGCTACAGGCACCAGTCACAAAATGGCACTCCCAGAAGAGTGCGTGAAACACACACACACACACACACACACACACACACACACACACACACGCCATCGCAGGCACCACCACACTGACTATCCTTGCTATGGCCTGACCAGTTCAGGTGCTCTGAATTTCTCCACATGGAACACGTTTTGTGGCTCCATTTTCTGATAGTTTATTTTCAACGGTATCACAAGAGGAAAAATTAGCTGGATCAAAGAGAACTGTGGACAAACCAAAATGTGAACCCTTCCTTACACAGTGTGGAGTTCATGGGTGGAAATTACTTCCAAGGTGAGCTGATGTCTGTTAGCTTTAGTGGCACAGAGGAGGAAAATGAAGCCTATCAATTCAGTCATGGGAGGAATGTGAACCCCCAACTTCAGAGGGAGCAATGAGAGACGCAGACAGTTGGTCTCATCCAGCGAACCCTTTTTACCTTCTTAAACACATGTATGCTCTTCCCTCCCCATCCCTTGCTTTTTGGGACCTTTTGGGCTATGCAGCATTCATTCATTTCCCATCCTCCACCCCAAGGTCCCTGGGTGGGTCACAATTTCAAAACAACAATAAAAAACAACTTATGCTTACACCCTCTGTAATCATCTTGTTCATCTCCTTGATGAAGATGCCAATAAGGGTGTGCTCGATGCCCCATTGAAAACAATGAGACTGCGCTTCCCTTACCTGCTCAAGCACACTGAAGAACACCAAGTGTGTGGGTAGCAGCGTAACATTGGAAAACGTTTCACTGAGCCAGCTGAGAGGGTCTGCATAAAATAAGTCGGCTTCATCAAGGTAATTTGCCCTTCCGGTCAAATCAGGGGGGCACTGAAGAAACCTCAAAGGTAGTGGGCAATGAACATGGCTGGAAGGGGGGGGGCAGAGAAACAGGTATTAATACAAATGGCTGAGGTTATTTTGCATTAGCAAGTGTTGGCAGCACTTCTTTTCCACGTGCTGATCTGAATACACCTACCAGTGTCTCTGTGTGTTATCAGTTGAGAGGCACAGCAAAAAATGGGACCTGCAGGATGGGTGGAAAGGGCTGAAGGTGACTTTTCCACACACTGCTGCAGATAGTCCCCATGTCACCTGGTGAAGACAAAGCGTGAGGCAGTGGAGACTTCCTGTGCTTTGGAATTGGAAGTGGCACTGACTCTACAGGCGCAAAGACGGGGGAATGGCTCAACAGCTAGAATACAGTCAAGGTTCCCCCGATCCCAATAGGGACACAACTTCCAGGGTCCCCTCAAGTGTGAAACTGGCTTCAGGTGCTTGGGCAAAGTGTTACACAGATACAGGGTTCTGGGTTCTCTATCTCAAGCTCTTTGCATCAGTTCCAGCAACAGCTGCTGATCCAGCTAGAAAGACACAATAAAGCCCACAAAGGCTGCTGCTGTTACAAAAAGTATAGCACAGAGGTGTAGACTAATAATGAGTCAGTTTAAGGAGAAACGTCTTCCAAAGGCTGATTACATCAGCATCAATCCAGCATAAACTAGAGGACAATCCTATCAATGGTCGCTGGCAGGCTGTTCCAAAGGCCAGGTCAGGAGGTTGCCCCACAGAGGATCATTGCAGCCACAAAATCTCCACAGCTGTCCCTTTCAGCAGAAAAGTGACGTTCTGGGGGTGGCTTTGCCAAACCCAAAGCCTTTCTGTTCCCCTGACATAATCCAGAAGGAGATGGAAGTATGCTAGTCCTGGAGCTGAGATCAACAGAAAGGAAAAAGGCCAAAGAAAGAGGCGGGAGGGAAACAGCAGCTCCCCTGCCCCAATGCTTTGTCCCCTCCAGGTGTGATCGCAGGAGGGCTTTTGATGTGGTTCCTCCACCTTGGATTCACCTTCTCCTGCCTCCTCTGAATTGCTCTGGCAGTAAAAGAGCAGAAAAGCTGGATATTCTCATGCAGAGTGCCACCAGAACCTCACACACATACACCCCCCGCTGGGTCTTACCTATAAAAAGGAGTTGAATGGCAGGGCATGAGCATGAAGACGGATGCCGGCTGCTCTGCAGAGTCAGCAGGAGCGCTGCAGAGACTTTGCAGGTGGCCCATGACATCCAGGGTTCCACGCTGATGGACCAAGCCAGTGTAGAGGGCAGGCAGCAAGTTTGTCACCAGCAGGAAGGAGACGGCTGCTGCCCGCTGCCACCTTTTCAGCTGCTTAAGAGAATGCCCTACAGGGAGGAGGGGGAAGGGATCAGAAAATGGAGCAGATGAATCTAGGGTCCTTGAGATCAGGGACCTGAGCAGTTCCAGAGACTTCCAAACAGCAGCTTTCCTAACACCTAAAGCTTCCCCTTCAAAGACCCTTCCTCCTTTGGCTCAGCCCTGAGGCTTCTCATCATTCAACTTCCCCCTCAGTTTGGCCTCCCTCCCTCCCATCAAATGTCTGAGAGCTACTTCTATAAAGACTGCCCAGACTTTACTTTCATTCCTGCCTCGGAAAGAGCCCAAGCACTAAACCTGCCAGAAGCCACAGCTGAAGCTTTTTTTTAAAAAACAACAACAACATTGTATGTAGAAGATGTAATTATTAATCAATGGGAGTGAAATAATGTGTCACCATTGGACAGTTTGCTTTTACAGGTACGCTCTTTTGATGGATGTTAGCCAATTTGGACACAATGGCAGCATTTTTTCCTGCACTGACACACACAATCTCTGTCTCAAACCATTTAAGATGCTCATTCCCCCTAGAAGAAGGAAGCAGTATTTCAAACTTCTCAAAGATGAGACACATTTTGGCACTAAAACTTCCACAACAGCAAGTTTTTCCTTTAGAGTGAACATTTAACAACACCAAGAATCCAAATATATCAACCAAACGGGACAAACGTAAGGTTATATGCAGGCAGGAAGAGCCAACTGCACAAATACGATCTAGAATCAGTGTGATGTAGCAGCAAAAACTGCTAATGCTATATTAGGCTGCATCAACAGAAGTATAGGGTCCAGATGAATGGAAATAATAGTACCGCTCTATTCTGTCTTGGTCAGACCACAGCTGGAATATGGTGTCCAGTTCTGGGCACCACAATTTAAAAAGGATATTGACAAGCTGAAATGTGTGCAGAAGAAGGCAACAAAGATGATAAAGGTTCTTGGAAACCAAAGCTGGGGAACGGTTGAGGGAGTTGGGTATGTCTAGCCTGGTAAAGAGGAAACTGAGAGGAGCTAAGATGGCCACCTTCAAATGGGCTGTCACATGGAGCAAACTTGTTTTCTCCTATTCCAGAGGGTAGGACCAATGGCTTCAAGTTACAAGAAAGGAGATTTCAACTAAACATCAGGAAGAACTTTCTGAAAGAGAGAGCTGTTTGGCAGTGGAAATGACTTCCATGAGAAGTGGTGGACTCGCCCAACTTGGGAGTTTTTTAAAGCAGGGATTGGATGGCTGTCTGCCATGTATTATTTGTTGTACATTTACTGTATGATCTATCTGAGATTCCTGCATTACAGCGGGTGGTACTAGATGACCCCCAGGGTATGTTCCAGCTCTACAATTCTATGAAACAGCACACAGAAACATCATAATGTGTTTAAAATTAATTTTTTTACCACAGAACACCATGCAGATTGGGAGCACTGGGTAGATAAAGCGGAATTCTTTGTGGCTCAGGGTGCTGTAACACAACAGGAAGAAGGTGTAAATGTAAGGTTCTCACTAGGCATCTTCCCAAGCCCAGGCCTCTTCCCTCAGGAAATCATCCTTAGTGCAGAAAAATCAGCCAAAGGTCCTCCCAAGTCACAGAAGCAGCCAGCTGATGGGGCCACAGCCCAATCCAAAGGCTCCCTTGAGCTGTGATGGAGGAGCCTGCCGCCAACATGGGAAGCACAGAGGACCGTAGCAGACTATACTGTCCCGAGGCAGATTTTAAAAGTAAGATTCCTCAGCCACAGGCCTGGGCTATATATTGATATATCACCCAGGACCAGTATGAAAGGCAGACTGTGATGACGGATTAACTCAGTGATATATCACACGAGCCAGCGGCGGGGTGGGGGCTCCATTAAAGTGCTCCCCCCCAGCCAAGAGAGTCCCAATCCTGCTGCTTGCAAGCCTGTGCCAGGGTGCGGACTCCGTTAGACTCCCCCCTCCTGACCTGCCAAGGTGGTGGCGGCAGCTGAGGCAGGCCCCCGGGCACTTGCCTCATCCGCCACTGCCTTGGCATAGGGGTCAGGCGGGCTCAGATAGGCAGTGCAGAGACAAAGCGCAGGTAGGGTGGCTCTGCACCCCACACCTTGCGGAGTGGTACAGAGGCTGCCTGATGCTGGTGCTGGGGCAGAGGCAGCCTTGCTTGGCTACCCTGCCTTCATCTGTCCACGAGGATGAACTGCGTCTTTCCTCCCAGGGTGGTCATTCACCCCAGGAGGAAAGATGGAGCCCACTCTCCTGGGTGAAGGCAGCAGCTGGGCCCAGCGCTGGCCAGCAAACTCGGGCAGCCCTGCTCCACAAGGTGCAGATAGAGTGGCTGTGCACTCCACACCCTGCGGACTTCACTTGGGAGGGTAGACTGCATTTTTCTTTCTGGGCTGAATGACCACCCCAGGAGGAAAGACTAGCCCTCCCCTCCCATCCCCCAGCACAAGGAGGAACAGAGCCAGCCCAGCGGTTGGAACCAAGGGCTCTGGTCACCAGCTGCAGCTTGAATCAAACTTTTCCAGAGCCAGCGGAGCTCCCAAAATGCTGCCATAAAAGCCATCCCATCTGGCTCCATAAGAAGGAGAGGCAAGAGTGGCTACCATTTTGCTCTGTCCCTCCCACCACCAATCCACCGGAACACCAAATGCTGAACTCTGTACAAGAAATGGAACCCACATTTTCTTCCTATTGGATTTTAAACACTTAGCTGGCTCTTCTGGCACATTGGCAGGAAGACAGCGTTAGAAGCACCCTAAGCAAACTAGCCAACAAATCTGAAGGAGGAAATACCTGGCACAGAGTTCTGTGATGCGTAAGGAAGCCTACCTGTAAACAGCCACTGTCCACAGCACTACCACCAGGAGTATGCCATGCCTCTTTGATGCTTGGAAGCAGCCATGGAGAAAGAAGGGGAGGTGAGGGCCAAGGACCACAAGGAAGCCCTGGGTGAAGTACCAGTGCCACGGGTGGGATCCGTAGAAGGTGGCCACATTCTGCAGCACGTTAAACTTCAAAAAGTTCAGTTGAACCAGGACCCACTGCAGGAGCAAAGAAACAGCAAGCAAACAAGACGGGCTTTATAACAAGAGAACTGTGAGAGGAGTGGTGTATTTGTCCTGACAATGCTTTTGTAAGCTTAGGATGGCTTCCTCAACATGCCCCACTTCCAAGGGAATTGGAATCTGGAGCACCAAATCCATCAACACAGCCTAAGCATCTCTTAACTATCCCTGTCACTGATAATTGCCAGAACTCTCCAAAGAGGACGGGGCGTGGGATGGTGGAGATGGGGACGGGATACTCCATCCCTCTTTCGCCTGTTTGCTGGCAAAAAAAAGAAAGTGCAACCTACTAAAGTCTGAGCGCTTGTGTTCAAGGCTGGATTACTGAACTGCTTTAAGTTGCTTATTCATTTGGCGCTCCTAAAGGAAAGAGAGAGAAAGAAAGAGAGAGGGGAGGAGATGAGAGGAAATGCCCACAGTCCAGGCAATCACCTGGATGCCCTTGTTGGCATGGTGTCAGCAGCTTTACCAGAGGACAATGGGCAGAGGGCAAACAGCCAGATGTAAAAGCCACCCCCGCCCAGCTCCACTCTTCAGCAAGTAGCCAAGGGGGAAATGTCCCCTGCCTCCCAGCTGCTGCCTTCCCTTGCAGTTCTCTGGCTTTTCTCATTTCAAGTCAGAGAAGGAGAGCACGCCACAAGCGCTGCTCTCCAATTCTGCTCATTCCTCAGCAAGAGCAGAGACTGGCAAAGAGTACAGGGGAACCCTGATCTTTCTCTGGCTGGGAAACTTCAGCCCGGCACTTTCCAGCCGGGCAAATTGCCCCACTATGCGTTTCCTATCTGACAGCTCAACAAATGCATTAGTTAAAAAGCAGCCCAGCAGCTTAAATAGACAAAGCCAGGATCACACTCTCAGCACTAGTTTCTCTTTGCCTGAGCCACCCTGGCCACGGCTGGCAACTGCACAGGCCAGCCCTGTTCCCACAAGCGCTGATGTGCCTCATGGAGCTGAGGGAGAAGAGCTGCCAGGTGGAGTGGCAATGGGAGGGGGGGAGGGTGAAGACAAAAGTGAAACTCCCCTGGCTGGTGCATTGCAACTCTTCTGGAATCTGGGTGCACTACTCAAGCAGGAAGGGGAAATGCATTCCCTCATCCAAGCCCCCTGCAAGAATGGCAACAACCACAGGGAGGAGTGGCATCTGGTTAGGGAAAGTCTGTGGCACCATCTATAGGAGAACTCACTTTAACTGATCTCAGAATGCTGAGCGAATGCCAACTTACCTTGCCAAAAAATACTCGGTCAGTAATTAAAGAGGATCCCAGAATGATCAATCTGTCAAGAAAGAACACACTGGAGAAAAGAGGGACCTGCTGGCCTGCACCCGGCAACCATCTTCCCTGGAGTCCCCCTTGGGGAGCAGGCCAATTCACCTCCCAGGAAGAGTCCGGCTCCCACCTGCTCCTGGCACCGATTCACGGGCCTTCTCCACACTGCCCAAAGTGGGAGCTGCCTCTCCTGGCCGGAGGAACAGTCCTTCTCCAGGCAAGCAAGCTGGGCCAGCTGCTCTGCACAGCATCTGTGGCCTGGCTCTGCTCCTGATATTTGGGGCACTCTAGCTCACCCAGGTCTAGATTCAGAAGAGATGCCCTTACCCTACTGGGAGGCAGCTGTGCAGGACGAGGTGCCGCTTCTGGGGCTCCTTCCAGAAGTGCCGGAGCAGCAAAGGCACCCACAGAATCAGAGCAGTTGGGCGAATCACAAACGAAAGAGCAACCAGGGTCAAGTAAGGGATGCTGGAAAGAAGAGGCGGCGGTGAGGGCAGGAACATTGGGGGCAGCTTCAGCACAGCCAGCCAGGCTGGTGTGGGAGCCTGGCCATGGGGGGGATGAGGAGGGGAGGTTGCAGGATTACTGTTTCACAGGTATGGGGATCATAGCTGTCAAATTTTCCCTTTTCTTGCAAGGAATCCTATTCAGAATAAGGGACTTTCCCTTAAAAAAAGGGAAACATTGACAGCTATGATGGGGATGCCTCGGAAGGCAGCCCTGCTGCGTATAATGGGGTTTACACTCAGGTAAGTGAGTGGAGGACTGCAGCCTTTTATATAACATGTCTTGAGAATAGGAAAATGTTGCCAACAAGGAAGAGAGGCAGACAGACAAATGTGAGAGCTTTTGCATTTATCTATACAGATGATCACACAGCCCTGCCAATCCGGAGCTGGGCAATGCCTGAAACCAAACCCATCCCTTTGCCTGTCAGGAAACAACACATTTGAAAAGAAGGACAAGGTTCTTGGGAAAGGGTGTTTTTGCTTGAATGGCGAAAAGAGTGCTTGGTTACTGGATGACCCCCATTTACATACAAAGAAATAGCTAAGCTGGCGATGGAAATATGCTGCGTGAGGGGAAAGCCAAGCATAAGGAAGTTCAACAAGGGTGTGACATTTCCCCAAACCTACCATTATAAACATTTTGATTAAGCGTCAGAGGTCTGCCCCAGCCCCTTTAATGGCTATTAAAGATATCCATAGGTATTCTCACCTGCTCCTCTTTGTCCTGGTGGCTTCCAGGGGATAGTAGTAAAGAGCGAAAGTGGTGAGAACAGCTTCCATAGTGTTGGTGAGAGTTCTGGTACAACAGTACCATGTGAACCAGGAACACAACTGGCAGAAGTACTGGAAACAAGGTGGGAGGAGAAGAAGAGCTGGTGTGGGATGAGGGAAAGAAGGGTCACAAGGCAAGACAAAGGACCAGGCGCTCATCACCCCCCAGCCGGCAGCCCAAGAAAGAGGAAGGCAGACAGGGACTCACCACCCACTTGGCCACCTCTGCGCCATCCAGTCGCTTCACCAAGGAGTACAACACCACGTCTGCCAGCGCAGCCAGAAGAGCCTGTGCTATTCTAGGGAGCCAGATCTGTTAGGGTAGGAGGAGCACAAGTCATTCCTGTCTGAGGAGGGATCACTCATGCATAGATATCATTAATGTGCTTGGCGAGGGAACACACGAGCCCATTAGGAAGACAACACTTTCAAATCAACACAAACTTCGTTTATTGATTGCTTTGCCACCCTTTACGTTTCTGTTATCCTCCTTGCTTCCTCAATTGTTGCTGTAATGTGGCCTGTGTGCCTTATGCACAATGTAAATTCACACTTTCCTTCCCATGAACACCAGCAATAAAAGTGTTTCAAAAGTGGCTAAGGATAAAGAGGCCCACACAAATCTACTGAAGCTGTTGAGCCTTTTGCTGAATGGCAGTGAACTGGCCCCAAGACTCAGATCTTGGAACAAAGGAGTGCCTTCCTGGTCCTGACCCCATGACTGAAGCCCACTCAAAGAACCCCAAGTCCCATTCTTGGAAATACATTTCCAAGGATGTTGAATGCCAGAGCAGGCAAGGCATGGGGCTCCTTCACTCCTAGCTCTCTCCTGCTCCCAGTTTGCACTATTAAACCCAAAACTGCATGAGAAGGGTATCACTTGGCCTGAGAGAATCCTCTACCAGATCCCAACTCATTCTGCATGCTGCAGCCAGAAGCAGGGATGAGGAAAGCAAAAGACAGACTGAAGCAGGCAACAGCCCCCCACCTATCATTGCCCCCTTCCATGCTAAAAGAGGGTGGTTGCTGCCTACCCTTCTCCATGTTACCACTGGACTGTTAGGATATAGTTCCGTTCCACCTTAAAAGGGAACAGGTTGTGTGTCACATGCCTGTTTACTTCCAGCACTTGCTGGGAACTTCTGTTTTTTATTTTGCGTTTGCTATTGCTGTTTTGCTGGAGACGAAGGGAAGCAGACATGTTTTCCTTTGTTCCTGAACTATGCTGAATAAAATGCTGTAGATAATGCTTACACATGGCTCTGTCCGCCTCTTCCGTTGTGAGAAGATTTATTCACTCTGCTAATAGAGCGTGCCAAGTCTCTAAACGTATCTGAGGCTCGTGTCGCTGTTTGATGCTGTTCCAAGGGAGACCAGTGATTGCCCGGCTGCCGGCTGGTGGCTGGAGCCAGCTCCCTGTCTCCCCGACAGTATCCCAACATGGACAATCCCCAACCCGCCTCCCACCATCTCTGGGTATTTGCCTGCATGTCCTCAGCAAAGGCGCCATGAGATATGCTTCTGTGGGATGAAGTATTAGCATAACTAGATAATTCCTGCCACAAAAGCAAAATGCTTGATGTGTTTCTGGCAGCAGCTGAATGACACCCAAGTCCACACTCACCAGCAGCTGAACATCATCCTTGTTAAGCAGGTGCAACACTTTATAAATGCTTGCGAACAGCAGAGGGTAGAGATGGCTCCGCAGACCTTCTGTCCACTCCCAGGTCAAATAGCCATAATTATCATCATTAAAGATATCATAAAGAGCAGGCATGGAGCATGGTGTTCTGTGGCCAAACTCCTCAAAATTCAACTAATGTAATATTTTAGGGCCTTTGATAATTACTAAATTACAACTACCCCCACCTGCTGAAAAACTGAATCTTGTTCCACCCAAACCCACATATCAGATGTGTCAAGAGTCATCCATCTGGCACGTTCCTGTGGCAGGCAAGAGCCTTTTCCAATACCAGTTTGCGTCTCAAGTTCCTTGTATCTCAGAGCATGCTGGAGGGAGAGGGAAAGGAATGGGCAGGACTTCAAGGAAACCATCCAAGCCCCACACCTGAGCTTCAGGGGCCTCTGCACTGCCTAACGCTTCATGACAACTGACAGTCAAAATGGCCCAGTTGTGACAATGTGATAAAATAAAAATCCTTCCAAGCCTGATCCTATACACTCCAGGCAGCCTACGTGATGCTTCCTAGGCTTCTTCTAGCAGGCTACCTTAGCCCAGCCACAACATGCTCAACCACAGCCCTGTTCCTTTACTTCATAAATTTACATCCAACTATCACAGAATTCAAGGTTGCACACAGGTAGTTTTTCCAAAGGGGCTCCTATCCAGGCCCTGACCCAAGACTGAGTGATTTCACTTCACTAAAGTAGCTGCCCTAGGCAACTGCAGGCAGCAAGCCACTCCTAGGACTGAACTTGGATTTACTCTTAAGTTGTGCAGCCCAACAGGACAGTCCAAAGCATGTCGACTTTATGCTGAAGTGAGTCTCATTCTGCTCAGTGGGACCTACTTCTGACCTGTCCTAACTAGGGAAAACTTTCACTTAAAATTTCACTACATAAAAAAAGGATATTTGAAAACCATATGATGTGCGACTTCAAGTGACTGCCAATATTCATCTGGGACAAAGCTTGTCTGGACTAAGAAGCAGTTTAGTAGCCTCACCGTGATGGTAAACAAGCACAGATAAATGTTTTCCCCAACAAGAGCTGGAAAAAAGCAGATGGGGTTAATCTCATGCACAGTGGGTTTTTTACGGTTATGTTGTAATCAATTGCAAATAAATAAACCTTGGATAGCTTTTGGGAGTCTTATTTCAATTCTTGCCCTGCCTCCGAAGCTGTGAATTGATTTCTCAACATCACAGAATCATAGAATTGCAGAGTCTGAAATGACCACAAGGATCATCTAGTCCAACCCCCTACAATGTCTTTTGCCCAATGTGAGGCTTGAACCCATGTCCCTGAGATTAAGAGTCTTATGCTCTACCGACTGAGCTATCCCTTAGTTTGTGGACAACTCTAAAACTGGCCTTTGCACCACAATCTTAGCAAAACAGAACCTTGATGGTAGAGGGGGAAAAACCTTGACTTTTCTCTAAATTAGAACTGACTTTCTTCTCTTTGAAGGGGCTGAAAAAGAGGCTCTTCAGAGATGAATCTACAGTCACATCAAAAGAGCTAAGTGAGCACTGAATCCTCCAAGCTCCTGAGTCCTGGAGTTTTCCCCACTAGGACTCCACAACAAGGGTCAGCTGTTGGGGCCCTGACTAGCAATGCTACGTTTGCTAAACCAGGAAAGGCTGCAATGACCTGGGGCAGGTGGCCTCAAAGGGGGGACAAGGACAAAGTCTCCAGACTTGAACAGGTTTTTTCAGCAGCCACCCCTTTAATGGTCTCAAAGGAGAATGGAAGTGGCTGAGAGACAGCTATGACTATACACAGCAAGATGCCACAGCTGCCCTTGCTGTGTACTACTGGCCTTCCTCTGGCCAGCCACCAGGGCTTCGCTCTGGCCACAGACCTACAAAAGGGAAGCACCAAAGCTGCCAGCTGCTGCCTGTCAGGTGCCATGTGGCAGCAACAGCGCTGTCATCTCCAAGGCATCTTGGTGCTGTAGGAGGCAGAGGCGGTAAGTGCAAAGGTCCTCCCTGCCCCCATTCAAGCATCCTGTAACCCAGCAGGAAGTTCTCTTGCACAAGGGCCACGGATCTGAATAGGCACCACTGCAGCCTTGCGTGCCTCCCACGGGGAGTTTGTGCAGGAGACCTTCCCAAGGGATGGGGCCTCCTCACTGCCTTTTGAGGGGCCCAAGAGTCCCCCAAGGGGTGGGAGGGAGGCTGGAAATGTGCTTCGTGCATGACGTGGCCTCTCCCTCTGGCCCTGCAGGTGCTGGTCAAGGCAGCTGGAAGGAGCCTCTCTGGACGTGCACGTCGCCGGCTTCCTTGCTCCTGGGACGGGCCGCCCCCAAGCGTCGCTCGGCCCCTGCGGGCCTCACAACAGCCCCGCGAGGTGGACCGCGGCCTCTCCTCACCCGCCCCCCGCCCCGCGAGGGTCCCGGAGGGGGCGGGCCTGTACAGCGTCGACTTCCGCTTCCGCAGCCGCACCGGCAGGGTCCGCCTCCCGCCGCCGCCGTCGACCCCCCGCGCGGCTTCCATGGCGACGCCGGCGCGGCTCCAGGACGGCCACTTCCGCCTTCCTGGGGGCGGGGGCAGCCTCCCCCGTCGGAGCGCATGCGCGCCCAAAAGCCGATCCTGCTTCCTCCTTTGCGCATGCGCGTCTCGGCTCCCGGCAGCTCTTCTCGCGAGAAGGGGCGGGGCGAGACCGTCGCGCGACTTCCGGCGCCTGGAGCCGCACCGGTTGAGCGTCTGCCTGAGGGAGGCTTGAGCCGCGGAGAGCGAGAGCGGCGTCGCGGAGGCCATGCTGGGCCGGCGGGGCTTGTCCTTCGGGCAGCTGCTCCTGGCCACCGGGCTCGGCGTGGCGGGAGGCATCTACGTCTACCAGCCCATCTTCCAAGGCGGCCCACGCGCGGGAGGCCCTGCCCAGGACACGCCGCCGCCGCCGCCGCCGCGGCAGGAGGAGAAGCCGCCCCCCGGGACCCGCCTCGGCTGAGCCGGAGAGAGGCCGGCGCTCCCTCGCGGCCGCGACGAGGCTCCTTTCTTGGCCCCCCCCCCACGATGGGAAGCCCGCCCTGCGCGCAAGCGCTGCCGAGAAGCCCCTCCGAAGGGAAAGAGATGGGGACTGAAAGTTGGAAAAATTCAACATGCCGTAAGCCATGTGCGAGGGATCACCAGGAAAGGGGCTGAATATATAAACCTGCCAGCAGCACAGCGCCAAACCACGAGATCCACAATGGTTGGAACAGCCAAGAACTGGGAGGGAGGCAGGTGATATCTTTGCTGCAGCTGTCACACTGTGAGAAGAGACATCAGCAGCAGCCGCGGCCCAGGGAGGACATCCTGCTCTGCGTGGGACTGACGTGGCTGGGACGCCAAAGAAAAAGAGGAGCAGGGACTTGCATACGCTGTTCAGCTCTAGTGACTGTTGTATCAGTGCCATTTAAATGGCTATTTGAATATAACAGTTTAACATAACTTTATTCAGTAGGCGGGGTATAAATACTCCTAAATACAATAAAATAAAATAGACCTATGGCAAGACAACACTTGGAATGCCGTGTGCCGTTTCCGCTCACTTAAAAATGGATGTTGTGGAGTTGGAAAAGGTCAGAATAGGGCAAATGGAATGATCAAGGGGATGCAGCGACTCCCTTGTGAAGAAAAGTGGCAGCATTTGGGCTTTTTTAGCGGAGAAAAGGAAAGTAAGAGGTGATGTGAGGGAAGTTTATAAAATAACGCACGACACATAGTATTGAGTTTCTCTCATAGCATTAGGACCCAGTGGCAGATTTAAGAAAACCAGAAGGAAGGAGTGCTTTACATAGTTAAGCAAGTTCATGCCTTTTTTTTATTATTAAATTTATATACCACTTTATCTTCCAAGGAGCTTAAGGTGATGCATATGGTTCTTGCCATTTCATCCTCACAACAACCCTGTGAGGTAGCTTAGGCTAATAGATGGTCACCCAGTAGTCCAACACGCTAACCATTATGCCACATTGGATGGTTTAAAAGAGGATTAGACAAATTCACGGAGAAGGCTATCAACAGCCACAACCCACAACAGCCATGTTCTACCTCTGCTGCCAGAGGTGGTGTTTTGTATTCTCATTTTGTATTTTTCTGTTGTGAAGCGCTCTGGGATCTTTGGATGAAGGGAGGTATACAAATTTAATAAATATAACAACAGCAACAGTATGCCGCTGAATGCCAGTTGCTGGGAACTACAGATGGAAGAGTGTTGCTGCTGTTCTCAGATCCTGCATTTCAGCTTCTCCAGATTTGGGGCATCTTGACTAGGTGGGCCCCTCTGGCCTGACCCTGATGCAGCCAGATTCTGGCTTCCCCTCTGGGCTAAAGTGAGCCGAACTCACAGTTGTGCATATCTGGGGGAGCTTTGGAGAGAGAACTTAGGAATCCATGAGGGTGGCCGGCCGCCAGAGGGCACCAAAGCTGCAGGAGTTGTGGCAGCTGCTGTGTGGTTGAGACAGTGGATACAGAGCTGCTTTTGTAGAGCCTGTTGTAGCAAAACAAATCCAGAACCCTTGGGGGACGACTTAAGGGTGAGCAGATGACCCAAGAAAACCTTCACTCATCCTTCAGGCACTGCCTTGCAGAGGAGGAAGCTTCAGCCTCTTAAGTCAGACATCGGCAACCTCGGCCTGCCAGATGTTTTTGGGACTACAATTCCCATCATCCCTGACCACTAGTCCTGTTAGTTGGGGATCATGGGAGTTGTAGTCCCAAAACATCTGGCGGGCCGAGGTTGCCAATACCTGCTCTAAGTGGTGCCTCCCCTTGCCTTGAAGCTGGTTTTAAATGACTCCTAAATCTGTAGGGGGTTGCCAGTTGTTTTTGTGGGCATCAGACCACCTCTCAGGTTTCCCCAAGTCAGCAAGCCTGGACAGACTTCCCTGCCAGCCCCTGTGAGCTCACCGGGACTGACTGCCTAGTAGGTAGACAGGGGAGCAAGTTAGCCAGAGGAAGGGCAGGGGAAGATGCAGACCCTACAGTGAGGCCCAAGCCTCCATCCAGCTGTGCTGACAGAATGGAGATGTGAAGGCCCAAGGGGGAAATGGTAGGACACTATGCCATTTGCTTTAATGGATCGACCTCCACGGGTCATGTTTTTCATATTTAATCATTGTTATTTTCTTAATTGCTGTGTCTTTTTAAACACATGCTGCATTGGGACTTTGGGTAAGAGGTGGCACGGAAATCCTTTGAACAAACCAACCAACACACTTTGAATTTGAAAGCATCCCAAAGTGCTAATCTCCAAAGGGCGAGCTGTGTTGGTTTACTGCAGAACAAAGGGTGTTGAGGCTTGTGGCTGGCTTCAGCCTGTGGAAGTTTATTATGCCACAAAGTTATTAAGTCTTTGAATTGTTACAGGATTCTTGGCTGTTTTGAGAGCATCAACCAAGTTCTTCATCCATCTCCTTTAGCAAAATCTACACTCTTTCGGGGCATGTTCCAACAAAAGTTGAACACATTTAAAGTGCAGTCCTATACTTTGGAACTCAGTAGGATTTATTTCGGAGTAGAAATGTATCAGGCTGCATTGATTGCAAAAGGCAAAGTGAAGCATATGCCTGCCTCTCTCCTGTTGGGAGTCCATGTGGCGCAAAAACAATGCCCTCCCCAGTGGGACCCACTTTTGATGCCTTCTTGCTAGGACATTGAGGGTTGCAACCCGCATCAGGTAGTGCTGGTTTATTAAAATAGAAGCCTAGAGTTTGCTTAAAAGGAAAATTGGAAGAGCAAAATCTCACACTGGGGTAGGAAACCTGCAAACCCCTTAAGACATTGTTAAGTTACGATTCCCATCATCCTCTCTGCCCCTGATCTTTCTGTCTGGGGCTGATGCAGGGAGAGTGCACTGGGTTTCCCACTCCTGATCTCATGAAAGACTAGGCCTAGGATCTTCCTTGTGTCAGGAGGAGAATTGGATTAAAGCAAAAATAGCTTTGCACCCTCAGCTTAACCCTGCTTCTTTGGAAGTGACTCCCATTGATTCCAATAATGCTTCCTTCTAGATAATTGTGTCTAGGTCCGCAGCCTTAATTGGGCAGAAAGAGGTCAGTTCCAGCCAAGAAAAGTTACTGGCAAGAGCTTGTTGGCTCCTAGCAGCTTATTATGAGTACCAAGACCTGATGGATCATAATAGATTGATGCTGTAGACCTGCTTTATAAATTCATTGAGCAGCCATGATTCAGAGCCCTTTTTCTCTGTTATGTGCAGTGCAGCTGCATCCTTTGTAATCAAGTATCCACCACTTGGGATTTAAAGCACAGCAAAATGTGTGCAAGAGACAAATTTCTCTTGGTTTTCGTCTCTTGGTCTGCACATTTGTCAAAAAAACGCTTCAGGATACTGCATGAAGCCCAGTCCATCATGGCTGTGCAGAGCATGAATGTTAAGAGGCTGTCCTTTTAGACCACAACAAGCACCTTCAGCTCTTGCATTTGAGGTTCAAGTCTTGCTACTCTCATCCATGCTGTTCCACACATTACACAGAGAAACCCACTGCAGGAATCTGAGCCCAGTAAATGTATGAGATACCCGTTTGTTTCAATCCCAGGTCATGTGGGCATCTGCGTTGCCACTGTGACAAAAGATAGTTTGGCCGTTGCTCAACATCTTGCCTGGTGAAGAGTTCTGGAGAAGTCAAAAGCCTGCTTCACTCTTGTGACATATTGATTGATCCCAATAAAGACATGATCCACGGGTGGATTTTGGAGTTTGTTTATGGGACTGGCTTTGATTGCCCCCTCCCTTCTCATATTCCTTTGTAGCGTTTAAAGAACCCACATATTTGATCTAATATGAACTGTATATATCTGTCTCATGGAGACTTTTCTTCCCCCACAAAAAAGAACAAATAGACCTTCTGTCTGCAGACACACATAATTAAGGGGATAGAAGTAGAAAGCAGAGGCAGGAAAATTGCCGGGGGGGGGGGGGCTCTGCGCTCCCAGTCCCAGGAAAGGAAGGGCCTGCTGGCGGTGCTACCTTCAAATCAGTGCTCAAACTATAGGTGGGGAAGTAGGGGGTCTTTAATTAAACCCACAAGCCCCATCCAACTTAGCTTCTCCCAGCTTTAGCCTGCCAATATTTGGGTGTCCTGTCCCATCTTCTGCAGTGTTGCTCTTTTAATAGGCATGTCTTAAAAGGGTGTCTCTTAGATCCCTCTCTGGTACCTCCATGCTGACCTTTGAGTCCACAGCTCTGGTAAAAGCCATTCCTCCTCACCCTCCTTGCACATCAATTTTCCAGGTGGTTGCTGGGTGCCGTCACAGGACTGGTTGCCATGAGACCCAAAGGGGGTGGGTGTTTGGAGCAGGGCTGGGTTGCTGCCGCAGATTAATTTCTGTCACTTGGCCTCTCTTGTTGCTTCCTGCTCAAGGTGGTTGCCTCATGGGAGACCCCCCCCCTGCCTGATGCAAGCTTGTTTGAGATGAGCAGGAGGCCCCAGAGGTGCCTAGCTCCCATTTCCGTGCACTGTATTGTGCCCAGGTTGTCAACCTGGCTTGTCTCTGTGGTTGAAGTGGCAACAATATGTGTGTCTTCTGCTGCCCAACAGATGTTTGGACTAGGCCTCCCCATCAGCCTCTGCCAGCGTGGCCAAAACATCTAGAGGGCACATCTAGAGAATGTTGTATATTAAAAAGCTTCCTGGAAGCCAGCCAAAGACTTAGGTGATAACATTTCTCCCTTTGAAGGTTGCCTGGTCTATAGAGGTCTGCCCAGGGGGGTTTGATCCATTTGCAGTCAAATTCTAGGTCCCAGGCCTTCACCAACTTGGTGCCCTCCTGTCCTTAGGCTATCAGGGCTGACGGGAGTTGTAGTGCAAAACACCCAGAAGGCATGAGGTTTGCAAAGGCTGAAGGATTCGTGTGCATACTTGAAAAATGCAAATACTGGAATTGAATTGTTTAATGATTTCCTTCCTGGGACTCTTTTGCTTTCTTTCTCTCTCTTTAAAGGGAAATGTACTTTCTTTGCTTACGACTGACTCATCATGGGCAGATGAAACTCTAATCAACCTTCAAATTCCTCTTGGGTGTTAAAAGGCAGGTGTGGCTCACTTTTCTACCAGTGGAAAACCACCCTCTTTCGCTAATGCTTGGAAGAAAAATTTAAACCTTAATGGTGATATCCGCCTCTATAAATGGTTAGCATTTCACAATACATTATTGCACCCTTCTGTACACATCACTGAGGCCTAAAGAAGCATAGTTAAAAGGTGTTAAGGGAAGGCTGGACCTTGTGCATGCACACACAAGTTGTTTTCTCTCCCATGTTATCCTTCTCTTCTTCCAAGCTGTCCCAAAAACCATGGAGGGTGGAAGTGGGATGAGGGAACACCTGTGGTCCTTCAGATATAGTTGGTCTCCAGCCCTCGTCATCATCATCCCTGACCACTGGGCATGCCAGCTCCTGGAGCTGATGGAATCTGGTGCCCAGGAACCCCTGGAAAGCCCCAGAGGTTCCCCATCCCCACACTCTTCCCTACATTGGACCTGCTGGGTGGTGGCGAATTAACAGGGTTTTCATCCTTGCAGGAACAGCCTGTGGGATGGGCTTTAATGGGCAGGAGAGGATATATTAATTGCAAGAGCAGCTGCGTTGCATGCAGAAGGTCCCAAATTGGAAGCATCTCCTGTTGGTTGCTTGGTTTGTTTCTGAAAGCAGCATTGCAGGGGAAAGCCTCTCTGTGGTCGGAGACCCTGACGGACT